GTGTCGTCATTGGCAGTTTGGTTGGGGTCAAAAAATCGTTCTCTAGGAATATACCCCTATCCCCTTTCTCCATAATTTGTCGGGGCAAAAAGAGATGCAGGAATTTCATAAAGAACGCTATTTGGATCATCACCTCCCCCTTATAGATTTTGTACATTTTGTCGTAGCGCGCTGTCCGAACATGTCCTAGCCGCGGTATTCGGCCCCCTTTCCTATCACAGCCGTAGCGCTCGCCATAGAATTTTTCTTAACCTAACCTATCCCTGAGATAATGTTAAGTAAATCTGGTACCAGCACAAACGTCGGACGGTACAAACATAAGACTTTCAAACGTCGGATAGTACAAACGTCGGACCAGTACAAACATCGGACCAGTACAAACGTCAGACTGGTACAAACGTCGGACCAGTACAAACTTCGGACGGGTACATTTACAAGGAAAAGCGTCGGACTAAGGAGGAAAAAATATATTTGAATTATCAGATTATAATTCTTCGCAATTCGCAATTTTCTCTCAAAAAATTCCCAATTTTTTTGTTAAAAGTTCATAATCTCTGAAAGGAGACATTATTAGAATATTTACGCCTGATAACGTAACAGCAGAATGTTTCAGGGCCGTGACGAGGATGTTCAGAAACTGCTCCATGAGGAGAGGAACAAATATGAGACGGAGCTCCGATCTTATGATGGTTCAGATCCACTGGATCCTTGGTACAGATATATTTCATGGGTCGAACAGTCCTATCCTAAAGGTAAGAAAAAATTAGGGCATGACTTAAAGTAACTTTAAGCGTAATTATAAATGACCTTCCATTAACAGATAGGCATGTCCGATTCACAACGGTACCTTGTTTGAACAACAATATTCAGATGCCCTCATTCGTATAGCTGAAGATTGAGTGCAGGGAGACTCTAGGTTACAGTGTACAGTGTACACTCCGTGTTAGTGTATATTCGTGTAGTTTCTTGGCACTCAATTTCCCGTTATATAAAAAAGAATATCTACATAAACCTTCTTGGCATAAAGGTTTAAAGGGTATGGTTGTAAATCAGGCATATCCCTCTTTTAATAATAGGTCACTTGAAATTACGCTTACAGTCACTTAACTTAACATAAATGCTAGGCTGGGGGGGGGGCCGGGGGGTCAAGTAACTATAATTACCCGTGTCGGAATTTAATGAATTTGAGCCGTGTCTTTAATCCACCAAAAACCGGTTTCAATTGAGCGCCGGCTTAAATCTTGAAACATTGAATACAATTTTAAGTGAAACCAACCATATTTGAGCGGCGGCTTAAATGTAATTCTTTAAATTCGGCCTCCGGGCAATTTGATCTTTGCAGCTCATTATTTATTTTCCTTCAGGAGGAAAGGAAGGCAACATTCACGTGTTAATACAGAAGTGCATTGAAGCTTTCAAGGTGAGTTCAGAAACTTAAAATTCGGAGATGGTGATGGACCAAACCTCTGTAGAGTAAAAAAGTAGATGTTAGTTCCACATTTATTGAATATATGTTTCGGTCTGGGTTGACCCTCGTCAGTTCTAACGATATGATAACCATCAAAATCGAAAAAAAAATTATAAAAAATGTTTGTTTAAAATCACAAAAAAATAAACAAACAAAAAAGATTATTCAAAATAAAAATTTGGGCTGTCAAATGGACATGAGGGAAACGAACTTAGATTATCAGATGGAAAAAAGATAATTTGCAAATATTCACTTTTTAAAAAAATGTTTTAAGACAATTATTATTCCTTGAGATTTTTTCTGTCACAAAGGTTAAAAACAAACTGTTTATTTGAATGTGTATAAAGTGATAGTGGGGGTCGAACTATAATTAACGAACTTTTGCGTAAATCGGGGGGAGGGGGAAGGGGGGAACGGCTGGTTTAAGGAGGGGTATTTAAACCTTTTATAGAATTTTGGTCCTCCTCAGAGTCAGTTTAGTCATGTAAATTTTTACAATTGATAAAGTTTTAATATAATAAAATATTTGATTTATTGTTTATATCTTGATAATGGCATACCAGGATTCTACAGAGATAAGTTTTTTCAAATTAACTGAAAATTTCGTTAACGAGTGAAATAACTCATTCGTGTTTTATTCGTTAAAAAACTACAGAACTACAGAATAATCGAGAATAAATAACAACATTTAAGTGCGTCTTAATAGTTAGTTTTATGCACTAGTATGCCTAATAAACCTAAAATAAATATATACTTTTTTGCAACAAAAATTTAAATGTCTTCTGTAGTACTCCAGGCTGATATCTGCACGGTGGTGCGTGGTGCCCTGAAGGCAGTCTGGGGGTTCCACATTGGGTTCCCTTTCAGATTTAAACTTGATTTGATTTGAGTAGGGATGGCCAAAGTTTCGTAAAGAAATTAAGTTTTTTTTAAATTAATGAAGAATTCTGGTAAGAAATGGAAATGAACCGATAATTTTCTCAATTTAACGGATAAATAAAATTACCTATCAATTTGCGTTTTTTCTGTTAATAAATAGTTTGTATCTTTTAGGATGATAAGAACTACAGTTTGGACCCGAGATACCTGGAGGTATGGTTGAAGTACGCTAGCATGGCGATTAAGCCTATTGATGTGTACAACTTCATGTACAAGAATGGTATATGTACAAGGCAGGCTGGATTATTTGATGCCTGGTCCTGGCATCTAGAAACTTCAAACAACTTCAAATCTGCTGAAGCAGTTTTTCTTAAGGTAAACATTAATTTCAAAACACATTTTTAATTCGATTTTTAATCAAAGTACAATATTTTTCGCATTTTTGGTAAAATAACAAATATCATTGTAGAGTCATAAGTGTTTTAAACATTCTTAAGAAACTTGGTTTTTTTTTAATTCAAAGTAAATTAATAGCCCTGAAATGTGTAGGACTGCTATAGAATAGATATTGTAAACTTGTTTTTCGCGGCATTCGATTTTAAATGTGTTAAAGACTACGACATCAAAAAAAAACTCTTGCTATGTATTCATATATTTGGGATTCACTGTAATACGATTTTAGCCACCTTTTTTCATTTTAAAACTTATACTCAATCTATCAAAGTAAATTTAAATCTAAATAAATTTATTCAGAGAGGGGAACTTTTTTCTTTTATGGTGTCGTCATTGGCAGTTTGGTTTTTTTATCTCATTTGTTTAAACAACTTGGTTTAATTAAATTTTCAACAAAAAATGGCAATTCCATGCTGAATTCTGTTGACAACGACCTCATTAAAAAAATTTAAAGTATAATGGAATTTTTGTTGATAGGGATTAGATGCTCTGACAGATAAGGAGGCCAAGCAAGGGCTTGCTGCTAGGAAGGCCCAGTTTGAAGCAAGGATTGCAAAACGTCTAAATGGTGAAGAAATACCTGCTGAGGAGATAGAAGAGCAGGAAGAACGATCAGCTCTAGGAAGACTGAAAACAAGTGGAAAGCATGGTAAAGTTGGCAGTGTTAGGGTTGGTTCTGTAAAGCTTGGAGGACCAGGGGTTCTGCAATCCCAACCTCTAAAGCTTCCCCTTAAACCTAACAACACAGGAGGGTTCAAGGTTTTCATTGATGAGAATGCCCCCTCCAGCATCAAGCGTTCTGATAAGGCTTCTCACTCAATTCCTGTTAAGGAGGATTATAAAGAAAATCATCTCGCTGCAGGAAAATGGAATAGTGGCACCAAGGGACCTAAAGCTATCAATGTTCCTCTAAACAAAATCAGTCAGCATGCCAAACCAGCTTTTGCTGTTCATGAAGATAATGTAGAGGCAGGTTCTACTGTTGCACCTCATATGCTTAACCCTGGAGAAAGTAATATTCTTTCTGCTAGGAAACTTGACAAAGAAGATCCTACCCTGCATTGTCCAATAGCTCTGTTTGAACCTCCAGATCCAACCAAGAGGTCTATGTATTGCAAAGATAAGGTTTATCAGGGAGCAACAGAGTTTAGTTTTGAAGAATTAAGAGCTGTCAAGTGGAGAATAAAAGAGAAGGCTGATCTGGAAGCTTTGGCTATAGAAAAGAAGAAGCAAGAGTTGGTGGAGATGGAGAGAAGGTTGATTGAGCGTCAAGAGGAATTGGCTAGGCAGATGGAAGAGTTTAAAAAAATGGCTCTGATGAACAAAAAGCCTGAAATACTGGTAACAACGCCTAGTCTATCGGATTCTAGAAGTCTCCAATCTTCCTCCAATCCTGATACATCAACTGTATCTTCTGACAGTTCTTATAAAAGGGGTTACATTAATGATTCTGGAAACCTTGCTGGAAGTCAAAATCAGGGTTCTGTAACCCCTTCACCTCATGGTCACAAAAAACCATTGTTCCATCCCTCACCCACGGTCAATACCAAGGAAGCCTTAGCTCTGATGCAACAGCTTTGGTCCACATCCTCTGAAATGGATCACAACACATCAGAACCTGCTTTAGCTCCCAAACATCAGTTTCAAATCTTCTCAGATGAAGAACCTGCTTTGGTCTCTGCTCCAGCTCCTAAGTTTGAGATCTTTGTTGATAAAACTGAAGAGGTTCCCAAACTCGCAACAAGGATTCCTTTCCAAATATTCTCTGATGACAAGGAGAATGCTGTAGTCAAACCTCCAAAGAAATGGAAAGCTGTAGATGTACCTGGTTCTAACTTTGATAAAGAAAACCAGATGCTTGATACTGAAAATGATGAAAACATGCCACCACCAGGATTTGTTCAACCCTCCATGCACTCTAGAGCAAAGACTGGAATATTAACACCTGCCGAAAATGTTGAGTGGATGCCCCTAGATGAACAGGAGAAGTTATTGGATGAAGACGAGAAAATGCAAGAAGAATCTCTCGGCATTGCTAAGCCAATGATTGGAAATGCCACAATGGTTCTTCCAAATGAAGATGATTTCTACAAAATGTCCAAAATTTCTTCTACTCCTTTTACTGGGCGAAGCTTTGTCCCAATGGAAGATGAGAACACCTGTGACGTGCAGCTTTTTTTAAGCAATAAGAAAGACGATGACAGTTTTTTTATGCCCCCTCCTCCGCCAACTGATTTTGTTGCAGAAGGTCCTCCCCTAACTCCCTTATCTCCCATTGTTGAGACTTCAAGAGAGCATTACAAGTCCAGCAGCAGCAGCAGTGGAGCTGATACAACACATGGAACCACAAGAGGAGACCATAGTAAATCCCACTGGGGGAACACAGGGGTGAGCACACACTTTAAAACAGCTGACAATACAGCAGGACTTGGGTTTTCTCTGGGTGCTCGCACACCTGGAAATGGATTACTTTCAAATTGTGCATCTGGATATGTAGGAGACAAATCTAGCATGTCAAGCTCTACCACTTTCAAGCAGGACCGAGCACATTTTGATTTTAGGCAACGAATGGGTTCTGGCAACCTTCAGGATGATGATCAGACAGGGATGTTCTCAGATATGTTGGCTGAGTTCAAGCAGGTTATACAGAAACCAAGTGCTGATGAAAACCATATTGAGACTTCTGTTCATCCCAGCTTTTTGGAAACCAAAGAACGATCTGAGTTGGTTGAGCATAGTCTTCTTCACCAAAGTTCAAAAGTAGTTTCTGATGGTAAGCACACAGTGTCAACATTAAGCATGACTGGGTTAAGGGTTCAGGAGCAAAGTATTGCCCACCTTCATTTTAACAGTACTAGTGATGTCCTGCATCTAACTTCTGGACCTGGATTGAATACGACTGAAGTCAACCATGGCCTTCCATCCACTGGACTTGATCTGACTAGTGCTCCAGGATTAGATATGACTGGAGAACCCTCTCTTAGTAGAACTGGTCTGAAGATAGCTTTGGATTTTGCTAAACCTAACCTGGACATTACTGATGCTCCAGGATTAGATATGACTGGAGCACCCTCTCTTAGCAGGACTGGTCTGAAGGTACCTTTGGATTTTACTAAACCTAACCTGGACATTACTGATGCTCCAGAGGCTGATCTATCTCTAAACCTCGCTGACCCTATGCTAGAAGGAGTTGATGAGAGGTTGGATTTTACCAACTATAATCCTTTTTCTATGGAATGGCAGGAGAAGCTGCTGAGCTGTCTTCATGTTCCTGTTCATCAGAGACATGGATATATCAAGATGGAGGATAAACTTCCAAATGTACGAGTCAAATCATGCTTAACCTTAGGAGAAGACAAGTAAGGTTTTTAAAACAATTTCCCTAAATAAATATCCCGTTCAAAACTTGGCCAGTAATTTTCAGCTATTATTTTTTTTTCAAGTTAAAGAAAATCGATCGTTAAAACGTCCTTTTTTTAGTACAACGTAAGCGGAACATTTTATAATTCTTAGTAAAATTTTATACATTACTATTACTAGGCTTTTAGGGCGCTTCGCGACCATCTTTTGTTTCAACTTTTAATTGTGGCTCTATCTTTGAGCATCTTCTTTTTGTGCAAAGTAAAACAAAAACAAACAAAAAAGTTCGCGGATTTAATAATAATTTTGTGTGCATTTTTAAAATTTTACAAAAATCCAAGAACTTTTGCATACAAAGTTTTTTAATTTTGAGCATCCATAAACCTTCCCTGGGGTCATGTAAACGTGAAGTCCCACAACACAAAATATGGGCTCTATCATTTCAGCTGTTTTGACGTTTATTGGATACAAAAAGACAGAAAAATGGACAGACAAACAAACAGACAAATTTATATATAGTTGTTGTTGCAGGTTTGTAGTGACAGCGTTGAAGGGCGAAGGTGGATTTGCTAAAGTATATTCTGCTAAAACTCAGCCTAATGATCTCAACTGTACCATAGCGGGGATAGATGCTGTACTAAAGGTTAGATACTTCTAGGGTTAATATTCTGAAAATTTAAAGCCCCCCACCCTTCCCTTACTTTATCCAGTTATCACGCATGTCGGGTGGACTGATGGGTGACTGTTTTATTTATTTATTTATTTATTTATAAAGATAAAGATAAAGAGTTAAATCTGACCGGCCAAGGGGTTAAGTAATCGATTTCAATAGACATCAAATTTCATTTTAAAATACATTACGGTTTTTTTCAAACTACAAGGCAACAGTTTAAATCTTTGATAAAGCATTAAGCCCCACATCCCCCTTGGTCCCGGTGTTAAAACCAATTTTTAGCCCCCCCCCCCTTTATAGTTGGGGAGGGGAGGGGGGAGGGGAGTATTTAAAAATTGTAAGGAGGTATAGGAAGAACCATGGTATAATATACTTTGAATGATACATTTTTATCCAATGTTTGTGTAATGGAGCTGAGAACACAATAACGTTCCAAGTGATTTATCATTTAGTTTGTCATATAACTATAAGCTTATCTTCAGAACTCGATTACTATTGATTTGATCTGATATGTTTTGATTTGTTCTGACTTGTTTTGAGTTGATTTGATTGGATATAAATTGGATAAGATTTAATTTGATTAGATTTTATTTTGATTTTATTTGATTTTATTTGATTTGATTTGGTTTGAATGGATTTGATTTGATTGGATTGGATTGGATTGGATTGGATTGGATTGGATTGGATTGAACTTGATATTTTTGGATTGGATTGGATTTGAGGCCTTATCAAATTGTTTTTGATGGACAGGGAACTATTCATGATTCAACTTTTCTACCTCCGACCAACCCATAAAACCCTTTTTATAAAAAAGTCCGTATTAAATAAATAAATGAATGTGTTCAGGTTGACAAAGCTTATGCTAGAACAGAACCAGCGCCATCATTATTTCCTTTCCAGAAAATGCAGGTTGCTCATTTATCCACATCTGACTACCATTTTATCTATATTTGACTGCCATTTTTCAAATTTGATTACCACCTTTTTATCTATACTTGACTGCATTATTATTCATATTTGACCGCCATTTTATCCATATTTGACTGCCATTAGATCTAAATTTGACCGCCATTTTATCAAGATTTGACCGGTATTATATTCCATAGCCATTTCATCCAAATTCAATGGTTATTTTCTGATTATTCAACCGCCATTTAATCAATATTCGATCGCCATGTTATTCATATTTTACCGCTGTTTTTAAAATCCATACTCGACCACGTTTTTTTTCAAATTAAATTTTCAATTTTTTATCTCCTTTTAATTTTATCCATACTTGATGGCCATTTTATCCGCATTCGGTAGCCATTTTATAAAAATCCTTCCGTTTCTTAATCGCATATAAATGCTTAATCTTATTTTATTTTACATTTATTTAATGTAAATTTAAAATATCTTAACTGTGGAAAAAAGGAGAAATGGTTTAAAATTTTCAAATCTCTGAATGGTTTATCAAGTTTTTGCAATAAAAAAGCAAATGGAGAAACAATTTTTTTTTACTTTGTTCAAAAATTCAGAAATGTTCAAGACCCGGATACGCATCAAAATGAAATGGATTCCAAGTGGTGTTTAAATATTAATTAAATCTCTATTTTTGTCAAGGTTTCCCTTTCTGCTCCCGGTAGAGATGGCTTATCCTTTACCATAGAGGCACATCAAGCTCAGGTATAGAATAATCATAATTGACTCTTTAAAGGGATATTGGAGCGTTAACATAATTTCAATGGGGCTGTAAGCATATTTTCAAGTGACCTTCCATTTAAGGAGGGGCTTCCCAGATTCACAACGGTACCCTTTAACTTTGCCTGATAAAGGATGTTAGACATTTCCTTATTAATCTGCTGAACGACATCGGGTTTCAGAAATTTAGGGATAAAAATCAGACTTTTTGGCAAAAACTGAATTCATCTACCCAGTGCTTATGATCCGGATCCGTAAGATTTTGGTGTCCTGGATCCGGATCCGCAAAAATATACGGATCCACGGATCCGGACCCAAGGGTCAAAATATCGACCAAAAACAGCAAAAAAAAAATTTATACTCTCAAACATCAAATCTGAACAGTTGAAAAAAGAGAGATTAAAAAAATATTCTTATCTCTGAATTGTTCATAAATTTTTAGCATAAAAATAAGCGAAAAAAAAAGAAAACAAATTTGACAATTCTGATATGTTAAAAAACATTTAGTAAATCTTTAAGATATAGTCATCACCTGGGTCCGGAATCCATTTTTTTAGTACGGATCCAGGATCCGGATCCGATCCGCATCAAAATTAACTGGATCCTTAGCACTGCGGCTTTACCCTCTATCAACTTTTCTAGATGAAAGATGTAAACACCGGGGCTGGACAGAAGCGCTCCCAGGACTCTATTGGCCACCCTTTCACAACGAATGGAGGATCTGATGGGGATTTAAACAGTCGATATACAGAACATTATGGTCCTCATGGTTCTTATGGTCCTGGATACAAGGACGGACCAGGATACAGTCAGGAGGATGGTCAAGGATATGCCCGGGCAGAATTTGAGCAGAGTAAGAAGATGAAGTTTGAATCCAGCCTGCAGACTGCTGATAATAACACGAGTAGTAATCTTCAATATGAAAACAGAAATGCGGGGAAAACTCATTCTCAACAGACAAGAACCATCTTCAGGCATAGCGGTAAGTTTTTGAAGACTTTAGAGAGGACATAAAGATCGTCTTTGATTTTTAAGGTTAAATCTAAAAAATCAACCCCGGTATTGGGTTTGTCTCTTTGTCTGTATCCAATAAACGTCAAACGACTGAACCGATTGGGCCAATTTTTTGTGGTAAGTCTCATGCTCCAGGGAAAGTTTAGAGATGGTTACAAAGGAAAAGTTTTGCTGAGAAAAACGCCGACATTTATTAATTATTATATTTGAAAATGCGCCAATTTTAACCGAAAAATCCTCGGAAAAACTTGCAAAATTTTAATCCTATTCAATGATGTTAATCTGGACTAATTTTTAAATATCTCTTGTTAACTTCAAATACAAGAATGGGCATTGGACAAACCACATTTTTGACAAATGGACATCTCAAAAATCAAAACTTATGAATTTGTTGGACAAATTTCTGGCAGGAAGATAAAAGATGATCTAAAAGTCGCCGCATAGTTCCATCATTTTTTGGGTCACTGCCTCTGTAAACATATGTAGATAAAGGATTATTTATTTATTATTTATGACTGATCATAACGCAAGAATCTTTTGAATGATTTGTCATTTTAATCTGAAAATTCGCTAGAACCACTGAAATATTCCTAGCTTGTGTTAAAAGTTGGGAACTGAGTAGGATGACTTTTATAGAAAAATATGTCAGTTTCCAGGCTAAGCTGGGTTCCTTAGCTAGTTATTAAATAAACTATGTTTAGGAATAACCAACACTGTGAATTCTGGACTCCACCAACCTTCCATTCAGCAGGGTTCAAACTTCCATTCATCCTCCTCCTCCGCTCCATTCCAGGAATATTCAAACTCTAGCCCAGTGTTCCAAAACTCTTCTGTTCCCATCAAACCGTTCCAGGATTCTTCTTCCCCGTTCCCCAACAATACTGATTCAGGAACACAGTTCCAACATTCAGCCCATCTATGGTAGGTCTAAATAAAGTATCCGGATTTTAACAAAACACTTAGTTAGTGTTAAATAATAAGATGAATGATATATCAAGGAAAATCTAAATTCTGCTTAAACAGAAGATGAAATATTATTTTCTGTTTATGAGACACACTGCAAACCAAGATGTGCATTGTGCAAGGTCTCACGGCAAAATCGAGCAGTATTTGGCCCAGTCACTCCTATTAAACTTAAGCTTGGAACACGCGCATTACATTTAAAAAAATCATACGTCTATGGCTACAAAAAAGTATAAGTGAGTTAGCGACAAAGGTAAGGGTTTGCGAGGCCGTCGAAAAGTTGTATGACTAAGTTGCAGAGCTGTCTAGATCTAAATAGATAACATTATATTCTTTATAGCTGGAATTTATACACATTTAGACAAGTAAGTCCTCAATTCCTGAAAAATAGTCGCGTTTTCCCGTTTTATTGGAGGGTTTTGATATGTTGGACCTTAAATATTCGGATTAGTTAAAAGTCATGACCTCAGGTAATTTAAATGCACATTGCACAGGTAGTTTAAGGAAACTGAACGATTTGAAAACCACCCTTGAAGGTCGTCTTTGATCCCAAAGTGTCAAGTTTCCTGGAACACCCTGTAGCTTTGAAATTCAATGGTTGAAAATTAATTTATTTATATCTTCAGGAACTCGAGTAGTCGAGAGGACACAAATAGGTTGGATATTTTTAAGAAACAGAGTAATAAAATTTTCAAATTTTTAAGTTTTGCCTCTTCAAGTATAGTGGGGTATTTTCAGTAAATAACAAATTTTAAATAATTAGGAAAATATTAAAAATCAAAGATTTTCAAAATAACCACTGGATCTTGAAAATATTTCTAATTAAAAAATTTGGTTCTAGGACCCAGGTATAAATATTTCTAGAACAAACATTTGTTCTATAGGGCCCAGGTTCAGATATATTTCTAATAATAATAGTATATCCAGGGCCCAGGTTGGGATTTTTTTTAAAAATAATATTATATCCAGGTTTGGAATATTTCTAATAAAAGTAGTATATCCACTCCGGGGCCCAGGTTTGGAATATTTCTAATAAAAGAAGTATATCCAGGGCCCAGGTTTGGAATATTTCTAATAAAAGTAGTATACCTCTCCAGGGCCCAGGTTTGGAATATTTCTAATAAAAGTAGTATATTCAGGGCCCAGGTTTGGAATATTTCTAATAAAAGTAGTATACCACTCCAGGGTCCAGGTTTGGAATATTTCTAATAAAAGTAGTATATCCACTCCGGGGCCCAGGTTTGGAATATTTCTAATAAAAGTAGTATACCCAGGGACCAGGGACCAGGTTTGAAATTCTTTTGATAAAAATATTATTTCCAGTGCCCAAGTTTGGAAGATAGAAACGGGAGGATATAATATAATGTTAGCATGAGGTTGTAAAGGATTGTAACATGATTTCTAATCTCGGGAAAAATTTAAAGGACGTAAATTTAGATTTTAAGTGATCCTTTATTTATGGTTGGGCAATTTATAACTGTATCAAACCTTTGTCTGAATTAGGATCAATGAAATATTTATATGTTTTAGAATTTTTTTTTATCGAATTGTGGTTTTTTCAAGAATTTAACGCCGACGTCTTTCTCATTAACAGGGGCGTATTCAGGGGGGGCTAAGCCCCCCTGGACCAGTGAAATCTATTGATTTTAGGGGGTTTTCAGGCCCCAACGAGTGCTGAGCCCCCTAGAAATTCTCTCCCTTGAGAGGCCCCAGATTTAGAAATGATCGTACGAAAGGTACAAATGTCTGGGTTTTAGTGTATGATAAATAAATTCATATTTTACGGGAATGTAAAAGATTTATATTTTATTTTTAATGTCAATCTAGTATTTATGCTTTTTTAGGAAACATTGTTTCTGGAACAACTTGCGGCAATCGACGAACGAGTTAGATTTCAGGTTTGTTTATTCGCCTATTAATGATAATTTATACATTCAGTTTTAAGAAAAAATGTTATGGAGGATTAAACCATATTTACGTGAGCCTATGCAAACCTCAACATCTTGACAGGTCCCAGGACCCCTCCCACTAGGGTTTCCATTCGCAATGCGCAATAATAGCGCAAATCTTGCTCTGTAGCTTTATAATTAATTCTTGAATTGATAGTTGTGCATTGTTTCAAAAGCTATTTTTTTAAAAACCAACACAGAAGCATATCTTTATTAGGGTTCAAGGAAATTTTTTGCAAAATGTTGTCAAACTTATCTAAAAATGAATAAAAACTAGTTGTGCATAGAAACCCTACCTCCCCCGCTTGCCCAACTGTATGTCCTCTGTTTATATTTATATCAAATATCACATATCATTTTATTTTAAAAACACTGTAATTCGCAAAATCTTAATTTTAAGGCAAACAAATATTTGATAAAGTTTTGCAGAAAATAAAACGAAAATTCTGAAAGCCGTGTAATGCAAAAATATTTTCAAAATTGTTTGTGATTTTTTCATCAATTTTTTATTATTATTTTAATTATTTTGAATATAAATCATAAATCATTATTTTTATAACTAAATTATCATTATTAATATCATCATCATCATCATACATCATACAATATATACAAGATATATCACCAGGTTCCAATGGAGATTGAGCATGGTCGCGCATTTCTAGAGTGCGCTTTAACTGGGAAGAAGATATCACAGTCTACAATAATGCACGCATATCAAACCTGTATCAAGAGAATTGTACGGTTCGCCAACAGTCTTCAGGTCGGTACATTGGGGGTAAATAAAATTGTACAATGTCTCGTTGTCTCACGCTATGTTTTGTCGTTTCTTCTAACTCAATGTTTTTTTTTTATTTTTACAAGAGTGCGCATATATTGTGTAGTAAAAAGGCAGCCAATTGAGAGAATCTAAATCTTATCAAGAGAAGACCTCTTTCTTATTCAATGAAGGGCGAACGGGTACCATTGTAAATTCTGTTTAAAATGAGAAACATTGTAAATTCTGTTTAAAATGAGAAACATTGTTAATTCTGTTTAAAATGAGAAACATTTGAAATTCTGTTGACCAGTCTCTTCAAGTTTTTATTTTTGATAATGAACTACCTGAAAGTTAAATAAGGATTTTACGTATTCCCTTCTAATATAAAGGGATATAAAAAGTACAAGGTATGTGAATCGGACATGAAGGGTCACTGTAAACTCCTAAATTTATTTAAAGTACCGGACTGACCTGTAGGCAGCTAGAGCAAGTTGTACAGTATCAGGGGCGTATTCAGAGATTTACCAGGGGGTGGGGCTTAAATTTTCCTTCCAGGGGGGCTCAGCACCTGTTGGGGCCTGAAAAATCCCCTGAAATAAATAGATTTCACTGGTCCAGTGGGGGGGGGGCATCCCCCCTGAATACGCCGCTGTACACTGTACAGTATATATGTAAGACGAAACGGGACAGTAAACTAACTAATGTTTACTGTTGTCCAGAGTCCCTTTAAGTAATGTTGAACACATATTCAGGATTTTGTTGAACTGCCTCCTGAGGATATGCACAAATTGTTGGTGGCGAACACGGTGAACATGATCAATATAAGGATTGCAAGATGGTTTAATCCAAAGGTATTTTCCTCATTTTTAAAACTTAAAGGGAGTGTTTGCGAAAAATGAATAGGAATATAGGTTGACGTCGAAAAAAATGGATATCGATATACTGAAAAATGAACTATGTACGAATGCATTGAATTGAATGCGAAATTTATAGGTTTTAATATATGAATAATTATTTTGAATTTAATTGAATTATCTACAACCTGAGTGGAATAATGCAACTCCATGAATTTTTATGGGTCCTCACTCTTCAGTTCTTTGGTATAAGACATACAGAGCGTCCCATATCATATTAGACTTTCTCCAATCTTTAACGCCAAATTACACATATAATACTCGAAGAATCTAGCATTTTCTGCAAAAAAAAAATTCTATTAGCCTTATTAAATTTTTCAAGATGATTCATTTTTTTTAAATTTTCTGATTTGTCCCCCAAATCGTAATTTAGACCCATTGACGCGGTCTAATTTGATGTGGGACACCCTGTAGATTAAACAGTATAGATTGGTAATGTAAGTGGTGTACACTAGGAATTGTACTCTCCACTGATTCTATCCAAAAGGTCAAGCAATACGGTTTACTCTGTACATGCAGTATGCGGGGTATGTATATACTCAAACTAATCAATTGTTTTTAAATATCTGACGTTTCATTGGTTACACAAAAATGGGGTGGGATTGAAATGACTGGGAATGCCCCCCCCCCATATTTTCTTAAAATCTGAAACCTCAACTGAACTTAAAATCTGAAACCTCAACTGAACTTAAAATCTGAAACCTAAACTGAACTTAAAATCTGTAACCTCAACTGAACTTAAAATCTGAAACCTCAACTGAACTTAAAATACTGAAATTTTCAGACTAATCTCGAATCCCAGCTGTCTCTGTGTTGTACTGGAGTCGACTTGTACAAGGAGGTTTCAATACAACACGACTTGGACTCATCGTAAGAATTTTTTAAAAATATTTTGTTAAATCAGTTTTAGCCTCTTTAATCTTCATTTTATTTTATTGGAGCTTTTTAGTGAACTTTTTTAATTGAACATCAGTTTAAAAAAACTGTACTTATTAAATACCCCTTGTGTTTTCTAGGTTTGTTGAGGCCCCTGTGAACCAGGAGGATGTATTTGTCTCCCCCTGGTGCTGCGATTCGTCATACGAGGATAGATACTTTGCTCTAATGAACTCAATACACGCGGTAAATTTAATTCACAACGGTACCCTTCAAAAACTTTCTCTGATTATAAATTTAGCAGGATAGATTCAATGTTTTATAAATTGTGGGTTCTATTTAAACACGAGTTCCGGAGATATACATTTTACGATATTAATATTCTGAATAGTTGATTGCACCTCTGAAATTCATGATCCCTTAGATTTAACATAATAATATTTCTAGTTACCTATGGACACTACCTCCATGGTCCTCCTATCGGTCATGACCTTGTTTGATTCGGAGAAAACGACTGGTCTTCAAAACTTTGAAATGATTCTCTCTCATGAGAAGAAATTTTCTCTCCTTCTGTACAGGTAAAATGTCTGATACAGTATCAAATGAAAAGTTAGATAAACGGCCCTACTTTTACATAATACTTATTTTACAGGGCTTATAGTTTCGGTTTAAAGATATTAATTTAATAATTTTCAGAGGAATCCAAATTATTCGTGATTAATTTAATTTTCAGATTTTTAAATTTTATTACCATCACAACAACAAAGTAAGAACAAGCCACAGATCAGGTAGTCATAGATAGATCATTGACTCGGTCCGCCCTGCCTATCTAGCTTGAAAGATATTTACTAAATAGTAAGCATTTAGCTGTATATTTCGAATTTCTCAATCACTCGAGCTGTAGAATTTTGGGTTGTTGTAAATTTGAACAGTGTGTCTAGTGTTCCGGGGAGTTAACGTGGTTAGATTTTAGTATAACAGTAGTTAGAAAAATACAAATATTTTCGTTCGTTAGACCCGTTGTGTTATCTTACACGAAAGTTGCGGCACGTATAAACTTACCAGACGCCGAGACGTGCAACCCTGCATCTTTATCTACTTGATCTGTGATTCGCATAAAATCTCTCTCCCGCCCCCTCCCCTTGTAAAAATGAATGATCTATGATATTTTTAAAATCTAGGGAAATGGCGGAGATATTAATCAACAAGAGACTTTTGTAAGGAAAGGAAGTGAAGACAAACTCTAATTGTCTCATCTTGATATTTATACAATCTGATATTTCATTACACTATTTAATCTAGCAATATCATAGCGAAGGTCATAATTTGAAATATTAAAGATAAAAAACATGAGGTTACCAACTTGCCAAGGTATAAATATCAGGGTTTGAAATATGATAAGATTTAAGTTCGGATTCCTTAATTTCATATTCTTTAAAAGCATTATCTACTCAAGATCCAGCAACTATATAACATTATATTATACATTATCTTTATATCAATCAGTGGAACATAAAATGTTTTTTTTTTCATATAAATAATCTAGTCGAGTAAAATTTGTCTTTTTAATTTTTAAAATTAATGCATTGAGTAGTGATGTTTTTTTGAAAAATCAATGCAACAATAGACAACCTTTGAACCTATATATATACTAATACCTCATACATTTTAAGCGCAAATTTAAAATTATTATACCATTTTTTTACTGTAACAATTGTATGTTTTAACATTTTGCAAGGGATTTTTCAGAATGAGACACATATTATAGAAGTTTAAAAATGAAATTTGTGCAATATTTGTTCCAGACTTTTTTCAATATTCATCAGCTTTTCTTTTACTTAAGAATCCCACAAACAGACAAATAATCTGAAATATTTCGTCATTTTTTCACTATGTTTGAATATCGAACTTTCAAAATCATGAGATCATATAAATTTTACAAAAGGAAAATCAAAACTTTTCTTCCAAATCTGTTACTACAAATCTGCGAAATTTTCCGTAAATATGTTTCCGATTTTACCATTGCGGTAAATTATAATTTGACTGTCATTGTTAACTACTGGAAAATTCTTTAATCCACATTTTCAGTAATTTTTAATAAAGCTTATTATTTCAATGACATAGGGTACATCTCAAAAGATTTATGTTTAAATTAGGTTAGATATAAAAAAGAAGAAATAAAAATTTCCTTACATTTTCAGTATGACAGTTTTCATAAATTTTGAGAAAGGGACTTAAGACAAAACCTTATCAATATTAAAGGATAATTCGTAGATTTTTCATTTCAATTTTTATTCCCTTTTCCAAGTTTTTGAGAAGACCTTTCTAAAGTGACGGGAAAACTAATTGTTTATTGGATATGAAAGGAATAAACCCAGATCACACAAAATTTATGTTTTTAATTTGCCATGCATAAAAGATCTGAAAAACTGTTAATAATTAGCTTTCACTGAAGATAACGCTTAACTTTCGTTTCTAAAGTATTAACTTGCTACGGCATATAGTGAGGACAGACCCTTGATCAAACGCAATTTATGAAATAGGTCAGCTCTGAAAAATGTTCTTGCAAAATTTCTATAATCTGGATATCACTTTTGATTACATAAAGTGTGGACTAGGAAGACGACATTTAAGTATTCGTATGTTGATTTGAAATAGTAACTTGAATACTATAGTTGTTTTCCTTCTCCAAAGTTATATGGGAAAACAAAAATCAAAATTTAGTTTTTGTGATAATAAGCTTAGGCTGTTCAAGTTCTCTATCTGCAAATCATATAAAGTTTAAATCTATGTAACTATATATATGTATATGTAACTACTTCTCTTAATGTCCTATTCTAACTGATAATATTTTCCTCCCCCCCCCCCCCCCCCCCCCTTCACCATAATCAAAAGCTTTTATTCGCCCAATATTTGGGTCAGATTTATTGGTCATTTTTTAATTCTTCTTATTTTTTTTAAAATAACGCGAATACATAAAAAAAACACAGGATAAATATTAATGTAGAAATATTTTTTTTTCTATTCAACCCTATCCCTGTTGGGGTACTTGAAAACCAGAAAATGTTTGCATAATAAAAAGTCTAGTAATGACATAATACATTTTTGAAAATCTCTTGGTCATGCCATTTCAAATATGCAAAAAATTTTGCAAAATTTTAAATAATCTGATGTTTAATTATGAAAAAATAAAAATGTGCAAATTTCTTTTAATGAGTTGTATGCAAACAATTTGAAAATATTTCTTTGCAAAACTTGTGCAATCTGTTTCCTTATGTCATAAGCTTTACAAAAAGCTAAAAAATATCACAATATGACAACTTTAAGTGGGTCAAAACAAAGATTTAGATTGAAAAAGAAGTCATTCAGGCATTGTGCCTGAGGATTTGGACAGTTAGTATAAAAGCCCAGTTTTATACCTAAAAGTAGGGCTATGGGTAGTTAAGAAAAGTCAGAAAGTTTCATCAGCCTCAGACCAATAGTTCGAGTTATGAAAAAAAAGTACGGGGGGGGGGTCATATTTACCCCTCCCCTTCCCAGCAGGAATAGGGTTAACAAGCCTTCTTGGCCCGGGTACTTACTAGAATTCTCCAGAACTTTCATAAAAAGATATATATTTTTGTTTAATTAATACTGTAATGTAAAATAACATTTTGTTTCATGTCGTCTATGAAGACCTTGTAGATTATGTACAGTGATAACCGGAAAACTCTGAAATAGGAATATAGGACGACTTTACAGCAATACTTAAGTGTATTTGATGCTTTTCAAAGCAATTGTTTTACTAGGCACTTATTTAAATACCAAGTGAAATGGGTGTGTTTACACTGCACAATTGCTTTGTCTTATTTTCATTGGTCTATTTAAAGTCATAAATTGAGTCAAAAAGTTGTCTTCTTATTCCAGAGTTTTCTGCTGAACACTGTATAATATACAGTGTATATCGGATATATATTACATAGCTAGTGACCGGTTTGTTTTGTTTATCGAGATAAGCATTTTTGAGACTTATTTAGTTGAACTATACAACAAGTAGTTAAGCTAACTAACTATCGTTCATTAGTTGATGATTAAATATCTGAATTGTTCTCTAAATTATCAACTATCTATCTGTAAATACTTGTGCCAGCGATATTTTTTAGAATTTATGAAAAGTATATTGTTTACAAAAAATATTGACAATTATTTTAATGATTGAAGATCATTATTATTAGTTGTAACAAATTAAGTTTATCAAAAAGTCATTACCTAACTGATACCAGTGAAATCTATTCCAATAAATTACTTTGAAGAATTTATTTGGTTTGGCATGTATGTAAGTAAATGATGTTACAATATTGTATTTTTGGAAATAAATTTTAAACTTAAATTAGTTTCAGTAGTATCCTCATCTTTTTATACAATTTATTTTTAAATTAAAAAATTTTAACGAAATTTATAAAAGAGCAGTGAATTTTTTCTGCTTATCTTCTAGCTGATCATACATCTGTAGATATCAGATTTATTTTCAGTTTTTCCAGGAATGTCTGACTCAACAACTGATTGAATGGAATAATGAGTAGATAGTTTCGACAAATAAATTCTTGATTCTTGTAAGTTCATTTCACACAGTGCTTCAATTTATGACCTCATCTACAGCTATCTTTTCCTCTCAGCCAATAGAGTATAAACAGGTATAGTGCACAACCTATTAGGATTCTACTTTTTATGTTTCAATTTTCCTTGTCTCTGGCAAGAGGGAGGGGGAAGAGAGGGAGAGAGAAACCCCTCCTTCTCCCGCTATTATTTTCTTTTTTCCTAGTAGGGTGTAATGCTATGTTATTCCACAGGGTTCTGTTCAGCCACAAGAAACTGTAGAGAGTTGTATAAGAACCTGACCGTACTGAACTCCTTTAGTGCTTACACTTAAAACTTGATTCTAGAAAAATTAAAGACTTTCCAACGAGTTTAGATACTTAATAACAGCTACCCAGGCTTGTTATTAAAAAGTATATTTAAAGCTGCCAGTAGCAAAATCTGGATCCAGCTAGGTAAAAAACCTACATTCTCCAGGCTAATATGACGTTAAGTGCTTAATCAGGGCTTTTATGTTTCTTATACTTCCGTTTTGTTGTTTTCTATTTGTGTGCAGGGGTATTCCCTGCTACAGTTTCTCTAGTTTGCCATTTTCTCTCTCTCATCCTCTATCTTTGAATACTTGAAGAAGCGCCTTTCAAGACCTACTTGTTGCTTCTCTGGAAGCTGAATGTTACACTTTCTCCTCATCTTTCAATAACACTTTTGTGAACCATACCCCTAAAATTACCCTGTTGTAAGGTCATCTTTGACAAACTGTACCTCCGTTGGACCCTCCGTCCACTTACCAAACCAAACATTTTCAAGGCTTTCGCGTAAATATAAACAAAAACCTCATGGAACTTAACGTGCATTAAAAGAGCCAATTTAAACATAATTTTCAGTGAATCATTTACAAATAAACAGTGAAATTACTTTAACCGGTTAAATATTTATTTTAGAAGAATTAAATTGCTTTAGACTTCAGTTCAAACAACTTTTCGCCGTCCTACAGTTTTCTAGATTGTAAGTTCCGTATACTTAATTCACAACAATATCTTAAACCTTTCATTGGCCAATTCACAACAGTACCTTTTTAAACTATTATTTATCGATTGACAACATTAATAAAATATGATCTACAAAACCTGCAAAACCTAGAGTTTCCTAAACCTGAAAACCTACAAAACCTAGAGTTTCAAATACCTTTTAAGCCTTTGTCCAATTCTCAATGGTACACGTTTCTAAACCAATTGATAATTTCACACAACTGTTTAATCTTTATTAACAATCATTATTTATACACATGTAAGTCAATAACAATTTGTATTTTGTTGTAGGAAACCTTCGTTACTGAAATATACATTTTCAAGAAGTTGTTCTCATCTATGTATGGCCGGTAGAAAAGAGTGTTTCCCTAGCCAATTCGCCTTATTTCCCTGTTTCGAGTATTATTCCTTTTGATCGGCTCACAACTTTAGTTTGTTTATGAACATTAGTTTGAAAAGTGTATTTGTTGATTTATATATGTTGAAAAAGTATACTTAACTTTTGACAATTTTGACAACAACATGTAATTATTTAACTTGAAATTGTTCAGAGCTAGGAACTTTTGTATTGTGCGTATCAATAGCAATCTTTTGTTAATCTGAAGATAACTTTAATCTTGATTCGATTTCCCGCATTGGTATTAAGCTGGAGCTTTGATTAGGGGAGGAATAACTAACATGAAGATATGGAATAGAGTAAAGTTATTAACCCACTAGCGGCTGCAGTGACTTATACGTCCCCTATAAATTATTTGACATAAAACTCATCTATTTTCCTCAATTTTTAGTTTTTCTCCGCGGGAGTCATTATATGATGCAGTAAACAATATGGGACACACATGTGTACAATTTAACGGTTCTACCTACTCATCTTCCAAATTATTTAA